TGCTGCATTAGAATGGTTCCGCTCATACCTGAGTGGCAGGAGTTCCTGTGTCAAGGTTGGTAATGTATCCGCCTCATTACCTCTTTCATGTGGGGTCCCACAGGGTTCGATTTTTGGACCCCTTCTGTTCTCACTTTATTTGCTCCCACTGGGGTCCATCCTGAGGAAACACGGTCTTTCATTCCATTGCTATGCTGATGACTGCCAGATCTACCTGCCTGTGAAACCAGCAAGTGTTTGCTCCATTCACCCTCTGTTAAAATGTCTGGATGACATTAGGGCCTGGATGGCTTCAAATTTCTTAAGTTTTACAAATGACAAGACCAAAGTCATTGTTTTTAGCCCTAGCTCAACTGCCACCACTGATCCTGTCAACCTGGACTCTCTTCAGCCATATCTGAAGCAGTCTGGTAAAAATCTCGGGATGGTTTTAGACTCTGACTTCAAGTTTGACAAACAAATCAACTCTGTTCTGCAGAAAAGCTTCTTCCAACTCAGACAGGTAGCTAAACTCAAGCCAGTGTTGTCCAGACCTGACCTTGAGAAACTAGTCCACGCCTTTGTCACGACCCGATTGGACTATTGCAACGCACTGTATGCTGGGATCAGCCAGGCCTCCATCTCACGCCTTCAGCTCGTCCAGAATGCTGCTGCTCGGCTTTTAACCGGAACTCGTAGGTCTGAACATATTACTCCAGTTCTGTCCTCCCTTCATTGGCTCCCTGTTCCTACGAGGATAGTCTTTAAAATTCTTCTGTTGACCTTCAAATGCTTAAATGGCCTCGCATCCCTTTACCTCTCTCAGCTTCTGGAACCTTACGTTCCCTCTCGGGCCCTGAGATCATCTGATCAGCTGCTTTTGGCTGTTCCAAAAACAAGACTGAAGCTCAGAGGAGATCGGGCTTTTTCAGTCATGGGCCCCAAACTCTGGAACAACCTGCCCCCCAACATCAGGCAGGTGACCTCCCTTCCTCACTTCAAATCCCTGCTAAAAACACATCTGTTTTCTCAGGCATTTCACACAGTGTAAATTGTTCTAGTGTTTTTTAATCCGTGACCTTATGTTTTAAATGCTTTTTATTAATTCTTCAGTTATTATCATTATTAGTGTATTGTATATATATGTTTATATATTTTTCTCTTTAATTTACTCATTGATTGTTGTTGTTAAGCACTTTGATAACAGGTTCTGTTTTAAATGTGCTCTATAAACAAAGTTGACTTGACTTGACTCTCCTCAGCCTCCCTGGTAAGGTCTATTCAGGGGTACTGGAGAAGCGAGACCAAACGTTGGTAGAACCTCAGATCCAGGAGGAACAATGTGGGTTCCGTCCTGGCCGTGGAACACTGGATAAGCTCTTTACCCTCACTAGGGTCCTTGAGGGGTCATGGGAGTTTGCCCATCCTGTCTACATGTGTTATGTGGATTTGGAGAAGGCATTCGACCATGTTCCTCGGGGTACACTGTGGGAGGTGCTCCCTGAGTATGGGATTAGGGGCCTGTTGCTACGGGCTGTTCAGTCCCTATACAAGCGGTGTGAGTGCTTGGATTGCATTGCCAGCAGTAAGTCAAACCCCTTCAGGGTGGGAGTTGGACTCTGCCAGGGCTGCAAGTTGTCAAGATTTTGTTCACAACTTTTATGGACAGAATTTCTCGGTGCAGCCAGAGGGTTTTCAGTTTGGTGGCCTCAGGATTCCATCTCTGCTCTTTGCAGATGATGTGGTCCTGTTGGCGTCATTGTGCTGTGATCTTCAGCTCTCACTGGAGCAGTTCGCAGCAGAGTGTGAAACGGCTGGGATGAGAATCAGCACCTCCAAATCTGAGGTCATGGTCCTCAACCAGAAAAAGGTGGTTTGTAGGAATGCGCGATATATACAGTACACGGTAGAAACGATAGAAATTTAGCCTACGATAGAGATCTGTCTTCTACCGGCTAACCGCAGTAATGCTGTGTCTGATGCAAAATTAGAGTTGTCAGATATAATCATTAATTTTCTTGAGTTGAAAACTGTGGTGTTAAAGTTTTTTCTTTGAGAGCTAAGTAGCGAAGCTACAAGCTAACTACAGCCGGCTTGCCATAGTGTTGCCTTATTCTGACGAATGCACAAAAACGCTGTGTTCATCGAAAGTTAAAGTAAGCATTGGTCATCTTTAGAGAAACCTGCTCTCTGATATGTGAAAGAACGCTGTGTTGTGTGATTTTACTGCAAGACCCTCTGGTCAAAGCCATGGACTCATTTTGTGTCAGCTCTCCATTAAAGCGGAAGGAGTCGCCCACTAGAGAGTTGGAGGGTTAAGTGTTTTCAGTTGCTGCTCTGTTGCTGTTCATTTCTTAAGTGAAGACTGGAAACTGTTAAGAGTTAACAACATATTATTTTGTTGTTAACTCTTAACAGTTTCCATATGTTGAGGGAGTATCAGAGAAACTGAGACGTTTATTTTCTAAACATAACGTCCCAGTGGCTTTTAAACCCCAAAATACATTAAAGACTGGTTCATCCCAAAGATCCAGTCCCCCGGCACAAACAGAGTAATGTTGTGTATGCTGTTCAGTGTCAGGAGGGTGATCAGTCTTACATCGGGGAAACTAAACAGCCACTGGCCAAAAGGATGGCCCAGCACAGAAGATCAACATCATCAGGCCAGGATTCTGAGGTCTACACTCATCTCCAGGCCAGCGGTCACTCTTTCAGGGATGAAGATGTTCACATCCTGGACAGAGAGGAACGAGGGTTTGAGAGAGGAGTAAAGGAGGCCATCTTTGTGAAAAGAAACCGTCCATCATTAAACAGGGGTGGAGGCCTACGTGTTCAACTGTCCCCCTCTTACAATGCTGTGATTGCTAGTATCACTCAGCCCTCTGTGAACAGTAAACAGCCATCAGGTGCTAATGACCTATTGTTAGGCTGATGGTCCTTCTTGAGCATGTGATCAGCTGGTTTTGGTTGTCAGCAGCAAAACTGGTTGATCCACTCTGAGAAGGTGCTATTTAAGAGACTGACCTGAATACAGCACCTCAGACTGAGGAAGTCTCTCGGACGAGAGACGAAACGTTTCTACATTTTTTGTTGTTTTGCTTTGTTTTGTTTTTTTGAATGTCCAGAGGACCAGATTTAACTTTTTTAGATTTTTCTACCTGGATTATTGAGCATGCATCAGAACATATTATTTTGTTTAAAACATATGGCTAAAACTACATTTAATATATTTTGTGCTGTTTTGCACTACAAGAAAAAAGCTTAATACTTGATTTTGTTTATTATTTAAAAACTGTGGACCTAGTAGTGAAATTTTTTAATTCAAAATAAATGATGGCAAAAGGACACCCTGTTTTTTTTTCATTCCTATTGCAAGTTTTATATCAAAAACATATCGTGATATATATCGTTATCGCCACCCTTCACAATACATATAGTGATATGAATTTTATGCCATATCGCACATTCCTAGTGGATTAATTATAACTAAAGCAGTCTCTTCTCACCCACCCACCCACCCTGCCATGAACTAGAAGGCACAACCTGCCCTGCACTGCTCTGAAAAAAACTGTAATTCTAGTTCTCTTTATTTGTTGAAAGCAGCGTCGGTTTAATACCTGTATCAACATTAGATAAATTCAATTCAGTTTATTTATATAGAGACAAATCACAACAAAGTTGTCTCAGGGCACTTTACAAGAACATTCACATAGAAAAACCAATTAGTAAAGTTCTCTAAGGAAAATCAGATCCAGATTAATCCAGATCAGATAGGAGGCTTTAAAAAGCCCTTTCATTTTTAGACATGCAAAGTGACAGAAATCCTTTGTGGCAATGGAGAACTTCAATACATGTCTATTTCACTTGGTTGTCCACCGGGCAAGCTCGAGGCAAGATATGGTAGTCTGAGACAAAAATAGGTTGTCTTTGGAAATGGAAACCTCTTATGTCGACTCCCGATTATAGATAATTTGAATTATATCATGAATGGAGAGTGTATGCAATCAAAGTAGTTGTAACTGTAAGCTGAAACACAGTGAGGAGAGATTTTTTTATGCTGAAACATTTTGTCTTGTGATCAGTTGGCGTTTTCTATGAAAGATTAAAAATGGAACACTCCATTCCTTCTTAGTTGGTTTACAGTGGACTATTCAACAAAGCTTGGCATTAAATGATAAAAAAAAAAATCCCCTTTGTAAGTAGGGGTGCACCGATAAATCAGCCGGCCGATTTATCGGCCCCGATTTCCTTAATTCAATACTTGCATGAGAAACCGTTTAAACAGATTATTTTTTTTTTGTTTTAACAACAATTGTCTGAACTTCATTTATATTTCAGAGCACTACCGTATGGCCAGTTAAAACAAAGTTGTATTGTTTCTATGATATTGTTTAAGGGTATGTTTTTCAATAAAATAAGATTGGAAAATTGAAGGTGCATTGTGATTTTATAACACTCAACAGTGTCGCTTATAAAAACAAAATCGGAATCGGCAGGTCAGACATTTTAGAAATCGGTGATCGGACAGAAAACTGCAATCAGTGCACCCCTATTTGTAAGTCAAGTGATTTGTACAACTAGGACCAACACTGGCATTCAAACAGCCCAAAGAGCCTGGAACTGATGAACAGTGTCTGTATCCTGTAGTGTTGGGCTGCTGATTTCTTACCCATCAAATTCTGTATTCATAGCTATCTCCTCACAACAGACTCATGATCAGGCTGCTCTTTAATACACCATATTATTATTATTGTTGTTGTTGAGTGTATATCTTAGATCCTTGTATACTGTTTCTTTATATATTTTACAATTTTGCTATTGTTGGATGTAACTGAAACACTGAGTACATAATTTCATTCCATCTCATGTACCACATGTGGTACAAATGACAAAGAACCTTGAACCTTGATGTAAACAGAGAAGCTAAGCCAATGTAGAATATGAGAGAAATGACAACTCAGCATTCTTTTTCCTGCAGGGATGATGGAAAAACAGACCATGTGGTGTTATGCATCAACTACCTTGTCCGTCTTCTCTTTGGCACAGAAATATTGGACCTGCAGGTAGTCCTCCTCACTGTAGCGCTGGCGCAGCTCATTTGCCTTCAGTTGCCTCTCCAGATCCAGCTGTTCTCGTCTGATTTGGGCACGGCTTGAGAAGATGCCCTGCAGGTCTTCTGACACTCTAGAAGGGGAAAACAACAACATCAACAACAATTTTTTTTTAAATTTACAAGTCAAATCACAAACTTATATTTTAATAGCAATGAAACATAATAAACAGACAAAATGTTTCAAGAAAATATTGTATATTTTCAGAAAATGTAAACAAAAATTATTAAAAAAATACAATAAAAAGGTAATTTACTTTTTATAATCTAGTTGTTTTTTTCACTACTTTTTCCTTTTCACTGTCCTTTTTGTTTCCTGATGCATGCTCAAAAATTTAAGAGTCTGAGCTGAATACAGCACCTCAGACTGAGGAAGTCTCTCGGATGAGAGACGAAACGTTTCTACATTTTTTTGTTGTTTTGCTTTGTTTTGTTTTCTTTGAATGTCCAGAGGACCAGATTTAACTTTTTTAGATGTCCTTTTTGTTGCCATTTTATTTTAATTTGTAAAAAATAAAATAAATCTGTATGGTTCTTTTATGATTGTCTATTGTTGTTGTTGTCCACTGTTGTCATCACTCTTTGTTAAAGAAATCAGGTCTCTTGTAAATGAGTCCCCGAGGCTCAATGGGGTTAACCTGTAGAAATTAAGGTTGAATGAATGAATTAACTATGAAGCTATGTTGTTGTAAGATATACAGTATGAAGTTTAGGGTGGTCTTGCTGAAACATACAAGGCTTTACCTGAAAAATATGTCTGAATGGAAGCAAACCTGTAGAACCTGTATATACCTTTTTTTGCATTGATTATGCCAATGCCAGAGGCACTTATAGAAACCCATACCATCAGAGAGGCAGGAGTTTAAACTGTGTGCTAATAACGAACCAGATTTTCCATCTTCTCTTTAGTACGGAGGAAGTGGTTTGTTTGACCGCAACACATTTTTTCACTTTAATGTTAAGTGAGCTTTAACACAGAAAAGATGGCACCATTTCTAGTTTGGTTTCACAAATGGCTTCTTTCTTTGCACAGTAGAGCTTATACCAGGATTTGTGGATAGCACAGCAAACCGTGCTTACAATTTTTTTAAAAATAAATCTGTGCCACAAGTTATTTGAAACCACTCAATCAAGTGTTAAAACATCTTGAATAATCATCAGATATTAAACACTTTAAAAATTACTTCATATATTTATACTAGGTCATTGTTATACTAGGACTAAAAGGAAGAACTTTTAGCATTCCATATCACTGTTTATTTTTGTGACAACAATATCAGTTATGAAAAATCCTCACATTTTCCCCACTCTTCCTTTTTGGTCATCAAGATCTAAACCAGCTGTGAGCATCAAAGCCAGTGAGATTCTGTAGGATTGATTAAATATCTGCTCCACAAATTCCTACAAGCTCCACCCTCCCCGGACAAAACAGTGCACCATGGGTGACAGGGCCTTTTGCTCTGCTGCTCCTCGTCTGTGGAACGATCTCCCTGATCATTTAAGGATACCCCAGACTACAGAAAGTTTCAAGAAAGGACTGAAGACCTTTTTATTTAAAATATTTTATATTGTTTTAAAGTATTTTAATCCTGCAGTTTTTTTTTTAGCTTTTAATATTTTTTAGTCCTTTTTTAGTCCACATTTTATTCTCTTTAGATATTTTATATTGTAGCACTTTGAGATTGTAAAATGTAAAGTGCAGTACAAATTGAATAAATTATTATATTAATAAATATGTTATTAGCATGCAGAACATGAATACATGGTACTTGAAATACATGTGGCAAAGGTGAAATTTCAGTGCTAGTTTGTGAAATATGGACTTCAATAGGTTTGTTTTATAGTATGTTTGGTTTATAAGCAATAGTTTGATCTTTAGTCAGTATTTAAACTTGGAGATAGCCAAAACCTCAAGGTTACACTTTGTATGTAGTGACAATTTTGTGCCACCCGAGGGCAGCACTTGTGGTGAGTTGAATTTTTGTGAGTGCATATAAAGAGAAGAAAAAAAAAGAAACTCTTGGTTGGGTTGGTGTGAAAGCTGTGTGCCATTTGGTGAGTCAATAAAACCACCTGAAAATCACCAGACGTCCTCCTATTTCTTAAAAAGTGCAACAAAATTTGGTAGCAGAGGATGGTTCAGCGATGCTGTGGATGGCAGTGAGTTTGTGAAGAAATTCAAGCTTAAAGATAACAACGGAGGCGCTAGAGCAGCTATACAGGACAAGCTAAGTGAAGCTTTGGTGCAACTTGGGCATGAACAACTACAGGATGTGCATTCTGATGGTAAAACTGAAACTGTAAAGCCATCTAAAAAGCATATGCTAAGACGATTAATAAGCGAGGAGGTTGAGGATGTTATTGAAAAGGAAGAAGAGGATGTAGCACACACTTTTTTGTTAAAGCTAATAGCTTATGCTAACAAGGCTCGACAAGGCCTGCAGCAATCACCGATAACAGAAGTTAGCACCAGCCAGGATGTAGAGGCAATGGCCAGCTTACAAAAACAGTATGCAGCTCTCCAACAAAGTTTTAAAGACTCAACTGAAAAGCTTGAAGAAGAAATGGCTAACCACAAGCTAATGCTACACTGACATCGAATGTTGTTACCCCACCACCAGAGGTGACCATTAAGAGACAATTTAAAATAAATGGTCAAAAAGGGGAGAGGAGACAACGAGACAAGTTGTATTTTTCCAAGCTCATTCACCAGATTGACATGGGTGTAAAGAAAAACCAAAGTGAAGCTGAAATTATTGAGGCTGTGGTCAAAGCAGTGAGTCCAGGCCTAAGTCTGTGTGATATGTTGGAGATCAAGTCAGACCTTACCCTGTCACAAATGCGCACAATCGTTCGGGGCATTACAAAGAGGAGAGTTCAACTGACCTGTACAACCGCCTCATGAACATCACAGAGGACAGCAATGAGTCACCGCAGAACTTTCTGTTTAGGGCCATCGAGATAAAAGAAAGACTCTTAGTGGCATCCAAAGAGCCTGGTGTTGCCATTTACCGCAAACGCCCAGCCAACAAAGGGAGGGAGAGTGGCCTAGACACGGCCACTGCTCTTCTGGAATCTATAGCTGATGGTGAGTGTATTTTATTTACTTTAAGCATATTTCTTTTTCCTCATGCAACCGTTTCTTTGCGTTTTCTGGAAGTACTCTGAACAAACGAGGCTGGCACGGTTAAGTCGTCATTAGTTAGCATCATTGCTAACTGTACTCTGTTGCTGTTTTTCCACTCTTATTTTGATGCAGAAAGTCCCACTGAAGATGAAGGTTCGCCAGATTCTGCTTTTGACTGTCCAGTCCTCCCCGCTTCTGACCCTTCCCGACCACACCAGCTCCAAGTACATCTACGCCACCGAGTACATCTACGCGACCGAGTACATCTACGCCACCGGGCACATGCACGCCACCGGGTAACACGCAGCAGAGCGGCACCAAACAGCACCCGTTACTAGGTAAGAAGCAACAATCGTGTTTAACATCACATTGATCATGTTGATATGAATGTTGTTTTGTTTTTGTTGTAAAACACCTTGCATGTATTCAAACTACTTGTTTATTCAGTTGTAATGGATAAATGTTAAATTTAGTTATTCATTTATTACTTAAACTTTCATTTATGAAGTTTATTATTGAAATTATACAGGGTGTAGTGATTTTTGTTCAGATTAACGATGCTCTGTTCTTTTTCTAAATTAGCACAAACCGTTGTAAATGACTACATGCAGTTTGATTGATTGATTGATTGATTGATTTTTATTGTCAATTCTGCATATGTACAGGACATACATAGAAATTGCGTTACACTCCTACTCAAATTGCAGCAAACAACAACATTAGCAAAAATAAACTAACACAACTAGTTATATAAAAAATATAAAAGTGAACAGCAGCAGGACCTCTGATGCAACGTGCTCAATAGTGACTAACAGGAGACAAAGGGACGCTGACTGAAGACAATAACATGATGAGAGGTAGATAATGGATGTGCAAGGCCAGAGTAAACAATAGTGCAATATAAAGTATAAACCTGAGAAACTTAGTAAAGTGAAGGTGTGCATACCGGTTCTATATAGAGTCACAGTTATGTACTGATGAGGTGATTAAGTGGAAATGACAATACCAGAATTACCAGAATTACCAGAATAAACAGGACGAGTTGATCATAACAGTAGTGCAAAATATAATGCAATAAACAGTAGAGTGAGCTTGTAGGCTGTTAAAGTGACCGATTCATGAACTATTCGTAAAACTAAATAAATGTCCCAGAGCAGTTTTGAAGGGGTGGGGGGTGGGGGGGGGGGGGGGCAGGAAGCTGAGTTAGTGTGGGCAGGGGGGCAGAGGGGGGGGAGGGGGCTGAGGGGGGGCAGGCAGAGAGTTCAGCATCCTCATGGCCTGATGGACGAAGCTGTTCCACAGTCTGCTGGTCCTAGAACTGAGGCTACGCAGTCTCCGCCCTAATGGCAGCAGGTTGAAGAAGCAGTGTAGCGGGTGGTCAAGATCTCCCACCCAGCAGAGGGCTTTACTTCTGAGGCGAGAGCTGTGGAGGTCCTGAAGGCAGGGGAGAGAGGTGCCAATGATCTTCTCAGCTGTCCTCACGATCCGCTGGAGGGATTTGCGGCAGGATGCTGTGCAGGCCCCGTACCACACAGTGGAGCAGCTCATCAGGATGCTCTCGATGGCCCCCCTGTAGAAGGTTGTCATGATGGGGGTGGGGGCTCTCGCTCTTCTCAGCTTGCGGAGGAAGTAGAGCCGTTGGTGAGCCTTTTTGGCCACTGCTGCTGTGTTGATGGTCCAGGAGAGGTCCTCAGAGATGTGCACACCCAGGAACTTGGTGCTGCTCACCCTTTCCACAACAACACCGTTGATGGATAGTGGAGCATGTTTTGTCTGAGTTCTCCTGAAGTCCACAACAATCTCCTTGGTCTTCTCTGTGTTCAGCAAGAGATTGTTGCGTTTGCACCAGGAGACCAGCCGGCTCACCTCGCTCCTGTAGAGTGACTCATCGTTGTTGCTGATGAGGCCTACCACAGTCGTGTCGTCCGCAAACTTGATGAAGAGGTT